AATGAACTAAGGACCTCAAAAAAAGAAACCAAAATCCTCTGAAGGTATGTCCGCCAACGCTTTGTTTAGGAGATATTCACACCTAAAGGTTTTCGTTGTTATGAATTATTTACGTTATATGAAATAAATAAAACATATTTATTTGTTCTAACTACTTTATTAATTAAATTTAAACATTAACGTTCATATTAAATGTTGTTCAAAGAAATTTTCTTGAGTATTAAGACAGATTCGGAATCTTTCTTCAACAGCAGCAGTGGCAGAATGGCATCGGATATGTTACTGTTTCATAAGATTCAATTATCCTTCTTTGTAAGGATTAAGGTCATAACCGGACTTGCATAGACTTTTTGTGTAATGTCACAAACAAGAAAATCCAGTGGTGTCAGGTCTGGAGAGCGTGCAGGCCAAGCCACTGGTACTGCACGGCCAATCCATTGATTGGAATATGTGATATGGGTTATATGATTGAGCAAGTCCGGCCAATGACCTTAATTCTGTACGAAGAAGGATAATTAAATATTGTGAAATAATAACATATATCCAGTGCCGTTCCTATTAATAAAATTTTTCTATTGGGAATGTTATTCATACAGTTGTCAATAGAGGGCATTGTTCTTCAATCTAGAAAAAAAAAAATGATATGGGATATATGATTGAGCAAGTCCGGTCAATAACCTGAATTCCTTACGAAGAAGGTTAATTGAATTTTGCGAAACAATAAAACGTATTCAGTGCCGTTCTTTTATTTAAAAATTTCTATTCTTCAATCTAGAAAAAACTGGAATCTTTAAATCAACAAAGAAGCTTATTATTTATATTTAAAGTCCAACCTGTTCATTACTGGGCCCTCTGTCCATAACTGGTGCGTTCACCCCACAATTTATATTTTCATTATTGAATATGTTTGATAATATTTGTATTAAATAATGTATTTGGGTTTATAACTTTATACTTCTCTTATTTGGTTATCATCCCGCACTGCGAGGATTCAACTAAAATTCTACAACGTCAAGAATTTCAATAGTTCGACCCCATGATTTGAAAGAGCAACTAGCCCTCAAAACCAATGAACACAATAGATCACCTAATAGAAATATGTCCCTTTTTTATTTTAGTTTTACTCTTTGTATTTTATTAGTTCAATATAGTCATATGATAAACAACTAATATATTAGATATAATCTGATCAAATTATATAGAATACATCGATTATTTATTAGTTATACACGGTCAGTTATAAATGTGTGATTTAGTAGTCCGTTTTGCAACAATAAAATCAGTCATGTTACTTTCACATTTTTACTCCCTAACCAGCCTCCCTCAGGAACTCTATCCCGTCAACCATACATCATGCATCAACGGTCCCTGCTTTCAAGTCTTTCCTTTTCCTTTCAACCAACTTTTCCTCGCTCCGTATGATTAATACTTCCTTGTGAAATTGAGTTATTTTATTCTATTTTCCAAGTAATTATTTTTTTAATTTTTACACTATTTATTTAATGATGAAGAGTCATATGCATCGCAGGAAGAGTCACACTGCAACTGACTTTGAAGATCATCAATTTACTCAAATAAAAAATGTAATTTTACAATGCAGTGGTAAAGAGATAGAACGAATCCAACGAGTGGACCTCTAGATATTTTTTGTCAACGTAAAATTAGATATACCAATAGAAACTATTTTCCCTCTATCTTGTGCGTTTGTGGTTTTCTAAATGAAATTCAAAAGGGACGGCTATTCAATGGAAGAAACCTTCTGTTCTAGGATTCTGTCGAAACCTAGAATTGTGGCATAACGGTCGCTTTCTGCTACTTAATGTGGAGCGGTTTTTGACTACTTTCCGCACAATTGACAGGTTTCGTCCTTTGACCTCAATGTCTTTTGAGTCTGTGGGCCATTGTCTGTGATCCGAAGTACACAGTTAAGGAACTGAGGCGTTATCCACAGGATCACTTGCATTCGTATTAAGTAATAATAAGAACATTTTTTATAATTTTGGACTGAATCATAAATTTGATAAGAGGGGAGAATACAGAAGATAGATTCTTCAGCAGGAGGGCTGATGAACAAAGGTGTAAGGTGAGGAAGGTGACAAGGCATCGACTAAGATTGGCCCGCCATCCGTCAAGCAGTTCCCGTAGCTGTCGTCCCATTTAGCCAATATTGGACTCTCAATAACTGACAAATTGATCTATAGTACGTCCAGTCTCCTCCTTACCTTCCCTCCCCCCTCCTCATTCAATAAAGATGGCATCTCTTCTCAATGCCAACGTAAATCCTATCTTGCCTTTAGTTTATAAAAACCATCGTAAAAAAAAAAAACAAAAACAAAAAAAAGTAATCTTTATTAAATATTTAATAGTTTACCGTTGCGTTATAAAGGAAGGAGATGGTCCGCGGTGGCGGTCATAAATAGGCTAAATAGTGGTAAAACTATTTTATTAAAAGCCAACGTTTCGACCCGAGGTCTTCTTCAGGGCTAGAACGGACAAGACCTGCAAAGTCGGGTCGAAACATTGGCTTTTAATAAAATAATTTTACCACTATTTAGCATATTTATGATCGCCACCCATCTCCTTCCTTTGTAATTTTTATTAGTTTGTTATACACTCATTTCTTATCTTTTACCATATTCTGTTTACTTTTAATTTACATGCTATATTCTCCTTTGTTTTATATTTTTATTCATACTTATTTTCTATTTTTGTTTGTATCTTCTATATATATATATATATATATATATAATACTTGATATTTTAACTACATTGTCACCCACTATATTTCTGATATCAACTTATTATTTCTTTATAAGACAACTGTTTCTTATTTAATATCTACTTATAATTCATTTATTTTATTTTCACCATGGACCTTTTATATTTTGTATCTTTTGTAGCCCTGATGAAGACCTGCAAGGTGGGTCGAAACGACGGCGTAATAATTAAAAATACTATTTTATAAAATTTAGCTTTTATTTTACCGCACCCCCCGATTTACTCCACATGTTATATCACAGTCGACCATCTCTACATTATCAAAAAAAGCAAAAAAAAAAACAAAAACAGTTTACTGGAATCTATTTTGAATTTATTAAGGTTAATAAGTTAACAAATAGTTAAGTAAATTGTCAAATTGAAACCGATTAACAATGAATAATCACATACAGATATGATGATAGATGATATGTGGCACTATCATTTAAATTAAAAATTGATAAAAATTAAACTTTAATTTATTTTTAAAATTGATCGATAAAAAATTTAAGATTGCTACAGAAATAAAATTTCGGAATATTTATATAATTACCGGCAAGCAGATATATGGGATGCTTAAAAAAAAAAAAAAAAATCGAGTCAACTACTTCTATACTAAATGCACAGCAAGGCCTACAGATTTTATGAAAAAATGTAAAATAAGGAACACATGAAGAAGACCGATGACTTTCAATTAGGTGAGGCCTCCGAGTCTAATATTGTAGTTGTGATCCTTGGAAACGCTAAAAGTATTTAGAATTAAAAATCAGCAGCAGTTTATTTAATTTAATAAGTTATTTAGTCGAAAATATTACTTCTACAATAGCTTGCAGTTTACATTAATGCTTTTAACTTGAAAGTTTTAGAGGCAAATTTACACAGTACTAATATATTTTTTATTTATTAGTTACTTAATTATTTGATTAAAAAATGGGGATGGTGTCCTTTACCTCCGGGACATAGATTTGTAATTAGCCAATAAAATTTCAACAAATCAAAACGAGGTAGAAACAGTTTTGAATGGGTTTCCTAACAGAAAAAAAACCCATAGAATAAAAGTTGTTGAGGATAAAATTTCGAATCCATAGCATACCTACAGTTTTAACGTAGATCATTTACACTGCTCGAGATTTGGTAATCTCTCTAATAATCAGATGGCTGGAAATTTGTAACGAAGATATTTATGATTTTAAATATTTTAACAATATGAGTGTTTATTCTTCTGTGTTATTCTTGTTAAGAGCCAGTTATATATAGTATAGGTCTCTTTTGCACCTATCAGCGGCGAAGAATTTTGAGAAACGATGAGTTAAAAGAAATTTAATTTAATGAAAAAATAATGAATACAAATCGAGTGATATAATTTGCATACACTAAAACTGTCAATACTCAGTGGACACTGAATTAGATGCTCTACAACATTTATTCTATGCGTTTTTCTCTTAGAAAACTCATTTTCAAGCTGAGGGGTTATTTATATTAATTTGACTAGATTTGTTATTAATTTAGTACAAATCAGAGCGTTCGTTGACCGTGGTTATCAACCATAACCACTTAGTCAAATTATTATAATTAAGTATTCGTTCGAGGCAAAATTCAACGCTCTTAAATTTCTTAACGACTATGTTTTTCGCTCCAATGCACCGATTAGGGTTATAGATGAAAAACAAAGATTGAAAAAAAAATCTGGCTTTTTTGGCTGCAAAAAGTTTTCTCTGGGTAGCCCGTGTTAGCAATTTAGTTTTTTACATGTTAAAACCTATATATACATTTTAAAATAATAAAAACTTGCCCCACATTTTTTGGACTCCATAGTTTTTCATAGATTCGTATCATTCGGAATAACCGAGAAAGTCACAATTATTCTACCTCAAATCGTGCTCAAGCCACGATTCAGCGACTTACTTAATAAGTCGGATAAGTATCCCGAGTGACAATATTTTCATTGTTTTCGGTAACCAATAATAATAAAGAATAAGAATGTCAGTATTTGAACACCAATAACAGCGATCCTAACCATTCTGCAAAAGGTCTTAGTCTTCCGCAATCATTGATAGTAAAAGAACCTTATCCGAAATCGTTTCGTATCATCTACGAACAGTATTATCATTATTATATCATCATCACTTGGAGAGTTGCCTCAGGATGGATGCGATGTTTTTTTCATTAATATAAATTATTTTCAGTACAGAAAGGAGTATCGACAAGAAAATAAAACGCAAGGTGTTCTGATAAAAGAGGAACTAATGGTTGAGGAAGGTGAGGGGTGTACCTCTTGTAGGTCGTGGGGGCGTAGCCGGGGGTGGTGGAGCTCGAGGTAGCTGGAGTGGGGGTGGCGGAGGTGCTGGGCCTGGAGGAGCTCGAACCGCTTCTTGAACTGCTGGTGGACATCGCCCGGGTGCTGCTGGGACCGGATCTTCCGCCTCGCCTGTCTGCTCGCCAAGCTGGCTCCCCCCGCTGCGGCGTACATACCCTTCGGGCATTACTCTCTGCAACAACAACAAAAACAATAATATAATATAATAATAATATCAACAATACAAATAATAAATAAAATGGCATCAATTCAAGATTGCTTGCAAATTATTAATAATCAATGGCATTAATTTTTCATTTGGGTAACAACAAAAAATGGTATGCACAGTTAGACCAAGAGTTGAAATATCATTGCATTTGGACTTAACATCATTTCCAAATATACTATTACAGTGAGGCTCAAAATCGGTTGTGTACCAAATATAAGCTCCTCAAATACCATGAATGTGGAACCGTTCAGAATTTCACGGAGGATTAGCGAATCGTTTTTCTTTCTAAAATAAATCGATACAAACATTTTGCTAGGCTTCAATACTGGCACGGTGGTAGGTCTGTAGATCGAAACGGAAAAATTGGACCTTGAAGATTTTGATGCGTACAGCAAGACCCGGATATTCTCCGGAACTATTGGATCCTGCCTTTTTAAGGCCAAAAATGTACAATTTTCGAGATAACGCAAGGCATAGGGTTCGCATCCACACACCATTACATTAATTGTGGTACTGTTATTGAATAAATGTCTCATTTCGTCGACTTGAGGTCTCTATGATCGAGACAGAAGGAGTTTATATTATTTGTCAATGGTGTTTTTGATCGGCAAGCTATATCATCGTTAATTATTCACCAAATCTCAAGATTGAGCCAACAATTTCGAAGGCTTCCTCCTGCTTCAGGCGGGAAAAATAATCCTCGAAAATTCAGGTAAACAAGTTATGAAAGAAAACAAACTTTATTAGCGAATAACTAAAAAACTACAAAATTTTTCCCTTATGTTATGCTCATGATTATATAAAAGATTGCTAAATTCCCTACAAAAGGAAAAAAAAAATCATCGAAATCGGACAAGTTTTAGCAAAGATACAACTTATTGAAATTTGTAAACATATTGGTTCCAAACAAAAATGAACATTTAAATTATGTTTTGTTTCCTTTGTCGAATATATTTCTCGATAAAGCAAAAATTGATTTATTTATCTTTTGATACGTTGGATTATTTTATTTTCTTATTAATCTAACATTTGATAACAATATGCTGTCCATATTTATCTAAATATTATTATTTTTACCAAGATCAAATAAAGATATAACAACAGAAATAAATGATTCCTGATGAAACTTAATCTCAAAGTAAGGTGGCTCAACAAGAAGGTGGCAAAGAAGGCTAACGGGATTTTTATAGAACTATACCCAGTTTGAAATAATAGGAACCTTTCTAACACGGAACACGAAAATAGAGAACTTCAAAACAAACGTGAGATTGGTTCTGTTTTATTGGAGCGAAAACTGGAAAGTAACAGAAAGCATCACCCGCCTGCTGCCGAGTTTCGTTAACCACCCCCTACATAGAATACTGGGAATTTGGTGGCCGGAACTCATATCGGAAAAAGAACCATGTAAATCCACCAACCAGCGCTCCATTTAGAAACAAAGAAGATAAAATAGAAATGGGTAGATTACACTCACGGAGACGCACCACAGTTTCGCAGAGAGGAAATCAGGATGGGGTGATAAGTCACGGAAAAAGGAAAAGAGCATTGCTGATCATCGAATAGAAAACACTCGTGGATGCTTTATGCTCCAGGGAGAGCCAACGTAATTAATAAAATAAAATATATCTTGAAAAGGGGCAATCCATGTTCTTCCAGGCTAACAGATTCCTGCGACTTGGATTATAAACAAAAACTATAAATAAGAACAGGATTTTTGTTATGTCCATGGAGCGGCACAAGGATACACGAGAAGAGATAGCAGAATAAAAGGAACAGGAACCTTCCAGGTACGATGCAGTGCCTTCACAATATTATGTGGGAATGGATAGGAAAAACAATTATCTTCATATTTTCAATTTTTTTTAGAAAGCTTCTGTTTATATTGTTTTCCTAAGGTTAAGGAAAATATACTTCCATTTGTCTTTAGTCTTTTTTAATCGCATCAATAACATTTGACGTTTCGGGACAATTTTCCCACCCTCAGAGAATTCCTTATGTTTACTCGATTTTGTGATGTGGCACCAGTTGTCAAAAATGCAATAATTGACATATCTATTTAAATATAATGCTTTTTGGTGTTACACATTCATTTTCTGTTCATTATCACACCAGGTAGCCATGTAAGATGTACCAGATGTACCAGATGTTGGTTGGTGTGATGAAAGGTTCCTGTTCCTTTTAACCTGCTATCTCTCCTCGTGATTCCTCGTAGCGCTCCATGGACATGGCAAAAGTCCTGTTCTTATTTATTGTTTTTGTTTATTATCCAAGTCGTAGGGATCTGTTAGACTGGAAGAACATGGATACTCCATTGCTCCTATTCAGTATATATTTTATTTTATTAATTATGTTGGCTCTCCCTGAAGCATAAGACAACCACGGGTGTTTTGCATTCGATGAGCAGCAATGCTCTTTTCCTTTTTCCGTGACTTATCACCCCATCCTGATTGTTTCTAACTAGAGCGCTGGTTGGTGGATTTACATGGTTTATTACATTACATTACATTACATGGCCACCAAATTCCCAGTATTCTATGTAGGGGGTAGTTAATGAAACTCGGCAGCGGGCGGGTGATGCTTTCTGTTATTTTCCAGTTTTCGTTCCAATAAAACAGATGTAATAGATGTGATTAAAAAAGACTAAAGAAAAATGGAAGTATATTTGTCTTAACCTTAGGAAAAACAATATGGGCCAGAGATGACCTACTGACTGTAAGGAATCGTATAAGAGGGTAAAGGGATAAGAGGATATAATAGGGATAAGAGGGTATGCCATAAGAGAGTATGGTTAAAGGGATTTGATTTTAATGTAATGTAATGTAAAGCTTTTTTTTTATTGAACTCTAAAATCCTCAACATTTTGAACGTAACATATTATTATTTAATCGATTGTTATTAATGACAACTTATATATTGCAATAAAAATATTTGTACAATAAAGATGATTATTACGTTGATGGACGAGGCCACCTCTTCACCTCGACCCTTAGGAACCTTTTGTGAGTACATAACAGACAGAATACATAAATAATTAAAGATACAGTTCACACGCCACGTACAATGGGATTCTGAAATACAGATTTCTTTTGCACGCAATCGTTTTGCTCTTGCAAATATCGAATTGCAAATCTTTTTTAGAAATAGGTTCCTGTCGTAAATAATTTTGTAATTTCGAAATAAGAAAACCCATAGTTTTTACTCAGGACACCAGAAATGACTTTTTTCATCGTTTATTGTTAATCGATCATTTCTATAAGAGAAAATTAATATGATCCCAACTAACACTTCAATATGATTCAAGACATATAACTTGGATTTCCGTTATTGCAATAAAAACAATGAATAACAAAGTAGAAATAAGGTACTGTTTGGATGTCAACACGTCATGTTTAGACTTCAACATATAATGCAGTCTCAACATTAAATGTCTTAAACTTGAAAACCATAAACCCGAATGAACATGGACCAAAAAAATCTATCGATAAGCAGAAGTCCGAGATTTAAGAAAGATAATCATTGAAGAAGTACTTTGGTACGACCAAAAAATCAAGCAGTATGGGGAAGGAAAAATGTTATTTTACAAAAAATATTTTTCAAAACTCTGATTGCCATGATAGGCTTCATGAGGTTTTAGTACCTTATGACTTTTATTTAAACCACGGAATTGCTACTGAAAGCCAATAAAATCGAGTACGCTCTCGATTATAGAACCCGAAAAGTGCATTTTAATTTTAATAAATAACGGTTAATTACTGTTAATTATGGAAATTCGTGAGATTTTATCAATGAAATTCCTAAGGCTGAAGGAGATTCACCAGAAATATTTCTTTGATTAACGACGTACCTCTTACATGCCGATTTCTACTAAATTTTATAGTTATTCTAGACGCCCTTTTCATCATTTTGGGTCGATTCTAAAATTTACCTGAAAATGACGTGTAAGATGAAACGTCGCAAATAAAAGAAATATCATTGGTGAAGCTCATTCAGCCTTAAGTGTTTAATTAACAAAATTTCTTTCACCTTAAATATGAATAACGGGGAGAGAGGGGGTAGGGTAGCTCTGTGGCTGGGTAATGAGCTTCCAATCTTTCCAATGGTCCCGGGTTCGAATCCCGGCTCATCAATGGCCGTGGATCGATCCTGGAGACGGGAAACCCTTCTAGGGCACACCTAGCCTCTATAAAGTGGGCTAACTCAATTAAATAATTAATTAAGGGAGAAAACCTGGCGGCTGAGCGTTATTTCGGGCAAATCACTACCTTGCACAACGTTGACCAAAAAGAGATTCTTACTTTCCCTAAATAGTACTGAACTCAAGACGAAGACCATTTATGGGTTGTAGTGGTGTACAGGTTTTAAATATAAATAACACATATTATCCGCATTACGAAAATTCATCATTTCCCAATCAATCACCAATAACCAAATGACGAAAATTTCTCGTTTGTATATAACAGAAAATAATTTATTCTTGTTAAACTAATAACAATCGGGCCAGAATGCTATGGCATTGTATTTAAGGCAATAAATATATTATCTGTCTAATTGATTTTTGTTTTTTAATTTAATAAATTAAATTCTATTTTTTACCAAACCGAGAAGAAGAAATACCAGCATCTTATGAATAGCGGTGAAAAAAATTAATAGACGAATATGTGTGTTAATTATTATGAAGTTATATTTATTTAAATATTTTAGCCTGAAAATTACTTGTCGTGTTCAGAGCAATTCTTCGGTATTTCAAACTAATATTTTAACCGTGCACCAATAAAGTGTCAACTTATCAACAGCATGAAAATAAAAGCAACGGCGCCCGAGAAATGATAAAAGAGTTAAATTACAGAGCCGCACAACCAAGCGATATGGCGGTAGTGTATTCTGAACACCTGTCCGGGGGAGACGTGAGCATTGAAGAACTGTCACTCAAGGTAACAAGCCATGTTACTTCTATATTTTTCCATGTCTGCCATTAAGGACGATTACTATAAAGATAACCATTTTATTTCAGTTTGTCACGATATATCATTGAATGAATTCCATCACAACAGAGCATGATTATCACTAATGATTATAATTCAGTCAGAAATAACTGGTATATTATATCATATTTTTTTTTCTGAAATTGTTTCATTATTTATTATCTTTTGTTAAGGTACTTATTTATTTATTGTATTTGATAAGGTATTAAATAGCACAGGAAAACCATTTACCACAATGTCTTACCATTCCATACGTTATTATAATATCATCAATTATAGTTTTATATTTCGTAAATTGTGAATTACTAAAATACTTGAGAGGTCCAAGAAGAATTAGTTTTTATCTAATATATTTTAAACATCTTTATATTAAAATGATAACCCTTCCTTTATTTATTGTTTTGTTAAACATGACATTATTATTCCAGACGAAATTATATTACTCTCCCCCTGGACCTATAAATTTTAAATTTTATGACGATGCCTATAAAAGGCGAATTTGAAGAGTAAGGATTGGATTAAAAAGGAGTGTTCAAATTACAAACGAATTATTGTTACTAGCAGAGTTATCCATTTCTGAATGATGATTATGGAAACCGCTATGGGACCTTTACGAAAATGAGAATAAGTATTTTTTTTATTTGATGATTTTATATAATGATTCCCGAACAATGATAAAACTAAAAAATGGATTGATTGATCACTTCACTATCACCAAATGGCACAGAAATGAAATTCATTATATTATTTTTTGATCACTTTACTTGTTAAAGAAGTTTTTTTTTTTTTTAAAACTTATTTATTGAAAAATATTACAATCAGTCTCTAGGACACTTATAATAATGTTCACAGATCACATTCACACTCTAGATACAATAAAAAAAATAAATTATACAAACAAATTATATATATACAATAAATAAGAATAAAATAACCTAAAAATAAATAAATACAAAGAACACATACACACCTATATACAATAACAAGAAGTTTTAAAGATATTTTAACGAAAATCTGAATAGGTATAAAGAAAGATGGTAAAATTATTTACACCCTGCAATTTGCTAAGGGCCATAAATATAAAGATGTCAGCTACATGATAAGATAACTACTGATGGAATACATTAGTTGGGGTCTGGGGGTGATAAAACAAAAAACGTATTTTAATCAGACATTGCAAGAGGAAGCTTAAATCGTGTTTTATGGTATTTAATTAAACAAAAAAAAGATGGACTATTACAAAATTTATTAACAATTCAATTAAACCATATTAGGCGTCTTTGTTTTATTTCAAGACTTAAAACCAAGAAGAAAAAACTAGCCTCGAAACCAAAGGCGTTGCAATGATACGGTCATTAAAAATAAAATTTCAGAGGAGTGGTGGAAAAAATAATCTTCCACTATCGCATCACAGAGAAATAGAAGAGAGCACGAAGCAAGAAGTTATGGTGGCAGGATGGAAGAGAGCCTAGTTGTGAGAGGACATCGAGGTGGATTCTCGCAATATTGGAATAAATATTGTGAAACGATAAGTGACAAAGCGATTCTGATATTTATTGACAGGGATGGGCAAAGGCTACTATTGAATCACTATTGGGAATTAAATCACTATTTCAGTTAATCGTTTGAGATCAAATGGAGTAGTAAATATTTTATTTGGTACTCAAAAAAGTCAGTATTTGAGTAAAATAGTTGATACTCAGTACTCAGATTAGCATTTCCCCATCTCTGTTTATTGACCGCATGTATAAATGGGAACAGAGGATAGTTAAATATAAATACACATTTCATACGATTTCGTTAATATATTTTTTTTTTGTCTATAAAATATGTATTTGAGCCAGTCAACTTATTGTTGACAATCAGCAAATGTGCTGGCGATACATGATATAATGACATGACAGGCATGGGGAAGGAAAGTACTCAGCAGTACCTCTTCCCTAACTTGTTCCAGTTATTTAGATTATCTAAGGAAGGAGATCCCTCATCCAACGCCTTTTTAGTCTCCTCCTCATGTCCTGAGGTATGTCAGCTGTTCCCATGTCTCTTATAAGTCTGTTATTATGTCCATTTAAATTTGTGTAAAAACGTTGATATAGGATCGTCATATGTTGGTCAACTGTTGGAAAGTGGAGTTCAGTATGTAGAGTTTTGTTAGTCACGTACCAAGGTGCTTTTGTTATGAGTCGCAATAGTTTGCGTTAGTTATATTTGTGATGAGTATATCTATATGGGCTTAAGTAAGTATGTATATGTATTTAGTTTCTGTTTTAGCTTTAGTTTTGAAGGTTTCGCAAAGAGAGAGTAAAGTAGTTTGAGTCGTTTGTTAAGTGTCATACGTTTCATTTTAACATGTGGGCCCCATCTCATCCTTCTGTCGAAGGTGAGTCCAAAGTAAAGCACCGTGTCCGTTTTAGGAATTTGATTGTTCTCAATATAAACTGGAGGGCAGGTGTTTTTTCGAAGAGTAAATGTTATATTGAATATTTAATAGTTGACCGTTGCATTATAAAAGAAGGAGATGGTCCGGGGTTGCGGTCATAAATAGGCTAAATAGTGGTAAAACAATTTTATTGAAAGTCGACGTATCGACCCAACTTTGCATGTCTTCATCAGGGCTAGAACGGACAAGATACAAAAAGATAGAATTGTGGCAGTTAGATAATATTTAGACATAATTTATAAACAATGTGAATAAGCTTATTAAAACTATAAACAGTAAGTACAATAAAATATGAACAAAGTAAGCTGAGTAAGAAGATCCTAAACTGAAGTAAATAGATGCTAACAATTGTTGTAGTGTAATATATAATAAATTAAAATGTGAATATACTTCTACAAAATCTACAGGAGAGATTGAAAGAAAAGGAAACAGGATATAATACGAAATAATCGGCATAAAGGAATGTGGAGAAAGAAAAGAAAAAGGAAACCAAAATTAGATAAATAAGTAAATAAAATTGGAAGAATAAAATTAGAGACTTACAGGTGTGCTCATCTAGGAGTTTTACTTAGAACTGGAAAGCC